TAAATTGCTCAACATATTCAGGAATAAATTATCATTATTATAATCTTCATTATACCATGAGTGCCAAAATATATTTGTGTATTATCCCAACATATTAAATTAATAGGTAAGCAAGTTATGGAGGAGTTAATACATAAGATTTATTCTCAGAATCTGTGCACCACAATGCCTACCCTACAGCATGACGCTTCCATAATACCGAACCGGACAGTGACGTGCGGGCTGCAGTGAAGAGAGGATGTGTGCGTCTGGATCACTCGGGACTCGGTCTCAACTGATGAATCCGTCGGTTCACGCAAGGCTTTAATCATTACGAATTTCAATACAGCAATGTATTAAACATAATTCACAATGTTATGAAAAAACTTTATAGGAAAGTTTTGAGGTCAAAGTGTTAAAAATAATGGTAAATTATGTTTAAAAATGCAATGGCATAAATTTGCATTTCCTACTTACAATTTAAGAACGTAAATCTTGCGCAATTAATAGTGTTGAGGAAAACTACGCCAAGCAAAATTGATCCGTCAATTTCTTTCTTATTTAATTTATTCTATTGAATTTGCAAATGCTTCAATCATTGTACCAAAATGAAGCAAACTAGCTTTGTTTCTACAGAACGGAGGCAGCGGATGTAGTACAATATCGTATTGAATACCTTTGAACTGTGGTAATACTTTGTAAATGTCTTCATTAAGAACTTTTATTCAAAACTAGCTCCGAAATAAGTAAAAATATTTCTGAGATAGGACAAAGTTTTGAGGCGGATTTATAATACATGTTTTTCAATTTTCACATTATTGTGACGCAACACTGAAAAAAATTTCAACCTAGATGCCGAAGTATTTTCCGTGAAACTATATTTCGTTAAAATTCTTACCACGCCATCCTTGTAACTATCTTCATTAAATTAATTAGTGCATGCAACAACTTTGTGTATTTTATTTTTTTTATGGTAATACGAGTGCTGGTCTAGACATTCGGAAAATTTTTTATGAAATTATAAAGTTTTAAAAGTATAAAAAATCCGAGAACAAAGATTTTTTTTAAAGTTCACGGGAAATTTCATCATCGTTGCAGGTTGTAATATACAAATATCATAAAATGAGAAAGGCAAATATCAAAGTTAGTTGCGCTTGATAATATGGGTTACTCACTTGTTGCAAAATATTTTCTTTACAAAAAAGAAGTATTCAAAACATCAAAACATAAACTAATCTTTATCATTTATAAACTAATCTTTTTGAGCTTCATTTTTAGCTCAAAACTGGTAGCGAACGTAAGAAAGGAATCCTAGATCACGAAAAATATAACATAATTGATCTCGATATACACTAATTAGCAATTAATAATTCCAATTAACGAACTTAGTCGTACCTTACAAACATTTTACTCATGATTATTAAAGTTCACGTTCGAAATTTTACTTATTAAATTACATTGAAAAATCGAACAAACTGATTCTCTTTTCAAAACAAAGGTTGTAGATTATTTAAACAAATGATTGAATTAATTATAAAGATATTGTAAAATATTAGAATACCAATGGCGCGAATTATCTTAACACAGGTGGTAAATAATTGGAAACAATGCTTTTAAATTATTAAAATTAATATTTTGACTTTGTAAAACAGTTTATGAGTATTATTGAAACAGTGTTTGCGAATTAGTCAACAAAAATTTTTGTTAATCAATGTAATAGAGGTGTGGCACATTATCAAACTAAGGTTTTGCATCAATAAAACAGATACTATAAACCATTAAAAAACAAGCTATAAATGTTTAAAACAGATGTATTTACTTATTAAGACGAAAGCAGTGAATAATTAAATTATTAAGATGATAAATTAAAATATATTAACGCTATGAATCTTTAAAACAGATGTTTAAACTCATTAATTCGAAAGCAGTGAATAATTAAATTATTAGGATGATAAATTCGAAATTATTAATTCGAAGATTAACAAATTTTGTTCAGAACTACAATAATAAATAATTGCAAATTATGATGTTTAAATTATCTGAAAAGAGCTTGGGGCATAGAAATTTGCTTTCCAGGTGCAGCAGTAAAATTTATTCAGTGGCCCGCAGTCAAGTAACATCCGTAGATGCCGGGGTAAAATGAGCCAGGCGTCGTATCTTAGCGACGAAGCAATGACAGACACCGTCTGCACAATTAATAATTAATAATTCCATGTTGATAGAGCAGAGAAATTTCCTACACTTTGATTATTGTGACGGTCGAAGTGACAGTTTTTTCACGATGACATGAATATAATGTACCCAGTGGTATGATTATGTTGTGCCCGGAGACATGCTTATAATGTTCACAGTGGTTTGACTATAATTTGTACCGCAGCATATTATTAACACGTACAGAGGAATTACGATTAATTATGGTGATGCATGATCATTACTAGTACTGAGGCACGATAATATTTTGCACCGAGGCATAGTTATAATGTACAACGAGGCATGATAATAATTTGCAATGATACGTTTTAATTTTTTATTATTAGCACCCAAATTTGGTTACGATGTGCAATGAGGCATGATTGTAATGAGCTCATGAATCGATATGGGATGTTATTATGGTATTAAAAATAGATGTATGTTCCGCTAATAATTTGCACTCTGGTTGAATATTTATTAGATTTTGATAACACATGGAGCAATTTACACCTGACTCATGCAGAGGTAATTAATTTTGGCTTGACTATTGGAATTACCTGAGAGCAGGTGAGATCATAAACAGCGCTTGTGTACATATGAATCTGATAGTATTGACTTATATAGGGTGAAATATGAAAATATTATTTTGTATCTATATTCATCGAGTAAGCGTTGAGAGATGGAATTCGATCGTGGAAGTGAATGAGACCATTTTAAGTCAAAGAAGACATTTTAGCGGGCAGGAGTAGCACAAAAAATTAAATCTGGAAACTAAAAACAAGTGACACAGCAATGCAACAAAACTAATGAAATGATTTGGATAATCATATTTTTCTCGATCAGTAAACAAATTACTTGTATTACTTAGCCATTTGGCTGGTAAACATTGGCCGGCTAGCAAGCAAATACACAAAACAGAACGAACTCTAAAATACATCGATAGCGTTTTCATCAGCATCAGGTTAAGAAAGTAACGAGACTTATTCGATTTCCTTAGCAAGGTTTGTGAATATAAACGTATATTTTTTAATACATGTTTAGATTAAAAGATGATTGCTCTGGGCATCGACCTGCAAATCTTTTCGCAAAGCCAAGCCTGCGTTTTCTTTGTGTCGTTTTACTTGATTTTCCCGCTCGTGGTTATTAAAAATATCATATATTTCTCTAGTACGAAATGAATTTCTTATGAATTTGTTAAGCAATTTCTGCACCTCGCCATTCCTCAAGGTTTATATTTTTTTATAGATTGAGAAGCAAACCTCGCGACGATTTGGCACGGAAGCTAGGTGATTTGAGTTCAATTTTTACCAGCTACAAAAAAAGTGTTCGATTTCAGGTGTCAGGTAAAACTTTTAATAGAGCTTTCTTGGTCACTTTTAAAGCTCTTATTCGTCGATGGTCTAATGAGTAATTATGAGTAATTATTTTATGAGTAATTATTTCAATATTAGCCTCCCTAGCTGAGAATAAGCGAGTCTTCTGTGAGAGGAACATCAGCCGATGAATGATCATCAAAGAGCTTAATAAACAAAATTACCGATGTGTTAAAAGTAATTTTTAATTTTTCCAACCTATGACCAGATTTTTGGAGCCGCTTCTTCTAAATGAATACCAAATACACAAGCTCACATATATAATTTGAAATTTTCAATTACATTTATTTGTATTCAGCAGATACTGGCAGCATAACTAACATAAAAAATGTTCGAATTTTGATTGTGGTTTTTCGAGGTAATGAAAACATGAAATTAAATTAAAGTTTCTGTGCTAATATAATACAGGTGCCAGATATTAATCAACAGAAGAGCATTGAACAGAAGAGCATTATTAATCTTCAAGGATTTAAGCATCATGTTTTAAAAATTTTAAACCAAAATTCATTAACAGTCAAATTTTAAATTTTGATTTCAATGCACTAATAAATACACAAATGGATTAGTTCACCTTATGTTTATAAATATTCATCTATTAAACCAAGTATTTTGAGCATTTGAATCATTAATTCATACAAAATTAGTCCTGATTTTAAAGTAAGTTGCATGTGAGTATTTCACTTCGATTTTAGCATGAGGGTATTTGCTTACATATCATATATAATTCATCGACGCCCTTTTACGGAACATTAATTCTTTTAGGGCTCCGATTCTTTTAGCATTCTTTCCCAATCAGCGCTTTTGTTTCGTTAGAAAAAGGTCCGACTTTCTGGTAGCGAACGTTGAAGCACTTATTTGCACTACACTTTGACGTTTGCGTACTGGTAGACGATGTAAATCATCATTAAAGAAGCTCAACATTGTTTTCCAATATAATAAGTATAATAAGTTCATGTATTTCATTTGTTACAAATCTCACGTTTTGCTGAGAGTTATAAAATAAATTAACAGCGTCAATAGTTTGATTACTATAAATCTGAAAATATTATTTATGCTCATTCAATCAACCGTATTTTATTCGTCTCGCAAAATGTTGCGTGCAGAGAAGAATAATTAATAAACAGAACGCTCTACTTATGAGGAAAGGATGAACAATAAATTATCTATAAATTTCGTTTGGTGCGAGCAAGGAATTGTTGTGAAAGAAGTGATTAGCAATTTAACTGAGGAAGCTTTGTATATGTACTGTAACGTTTCTGATTCAGTGCGTTGCAATGTGATTTATACAATGTGATTTATACTATATATACGCTAGTTAGTAGAAGTGATTTGAAAGGAGCACCACAAATTGTAGTTAGTTCTATAGCGTGAGGAAATGAATTAAAAATTATATTATTGTCCTTCCGTTCAGACAGGATCGATAATAAATAATAATTCACAATGTGTGTTTAACTTGACTTAATTTTTTGTGTTGATGAACCAACGGATTTAAATAGTAAATATAGTCCATTCATAAGGAATTAAACGCTGAACCGCGTGAAAAATATCTGTATTGTGAATTATGAGCTGAAAAAATACATATTTTTATCTAGCGCAAAGAAAATTTTTACCAATACCTTTGTCTAAAGGATTATCGAACGCGCAGTGGCAGGATCAGGTGAAACATTCAGTGTCTTCTGGCAAGAAAAAAAGCTTTGTCTTCCACCTCTCCACAGCGAAGAAAAGGTCGCAGGTGAATGATGGAGGTTCATCGGGGGAGCGGGGCTTTTAGGAGCTCATTCGTGCTGCTTCTCTTCCTATGGACTTTACTCACACACAGCGGTGAGTAACAGAGTGAACCAATTAACGGCATCTGAATTATTTAAACCGAAATTGATGATGAGTAGCAGCTGTGGTGCTTTAGGTGCTTTTCCTAGGTGCTTTTACATTTAGGTGTTTTTCATAGTACATTAAGGTGCTTTTCCTAGAGTACTATTTAACAGTTTGAAACATATTTGTGCAGTAGCGTGACATATACTATACTACCTGCGTATTCGGATATTGTTGTCGGAGGTCATTCAAAACGATGATATACAGAATTTATTGATATAAGTAATGTGAAAAAGTATATTAAAATTTTTTTATATACTATATTTTAATTTTGTTATCACAATCCTTCTTACGATTAATGTTGAAAACAGAACATTTAAATGAACCAACGAGCGATAATTTGTGTATTCATTCAAATATTTGAATTGTTTTTCAAATATCTTCATGCGTCTCACCCGTGCAGACTTGTACTACATCTATCATTGTGAAATAACCCGAGATCACGCAAAAAATTCTGTATCATTTAAAATATAAATACAATACAAGATTTGTAAAATTGGATTTTCATAGAATAATGACATTTTTAACGAAATGTGGCACTTCACCCGACTTACATTGAATTTTTGAGGCTGGAAGGACAGGCTTCATTGCATCACAAAGACTTTATTGAATTTGCAGAGCTCTGGAGGCTCCCTGCTGCTGAAGTTTAGCGAGAATAGAAATTTCATTCATACCTAACTCATCATGAGCAGAAAATAGTGCGGAAAAGTTGCACTTAACTCGCAGGTGAAGAATATAACTTGTATAATTCAATGTTTCCTTTATACCTAACTCATCTTGAGCAGAAAATAGTGCGGAAAAGTTGCACTTAATTCGCAGGTGAAGAATATAACTTGTATAATTCAATGTTTTCTTTATACCTAACTCATCGTGAGCAGAAAATAGTGCGGAAAAGATGCGACTAAATTTGCAGGTGAAGAATAAAATAACATAATTCAATGTTTCAGTTTATTTTTACTGTGCACAAAACCAATATGGGTAAATTAACTGAAGCTACCGGAATTTTTTGGTCATTGAGTGTGAGGGATAGATTAGGAAGCTAATCCACATGAATGCAAGAATTATTAAATATTAATCCACAAGAATGCAAAGACCAGTAGAATCTAATTCACTACTGAAAAAATTAGTATCAGTTACTCAGTGACGCGATTTGTAGTGATAGTATTACAAGCCACTCAATTTTACATGACATTGATAATTTTTTTTTCCTAATGGTTACTGATGATAAATAAGAATACATAATTCCATCAAATAAAGAAATTAAGTCCCAACTAAAACATACCTACACTATTTAATATTGGGATACTGTATTTGAAAGCATAATTTCATATAGCACTAATTAACATTGTCATATTGTATTACTGGAAACAAAATTTTAGCCAGAAGCCGGCCATTATTTTAGGATGCTATAGCAAAATACTATGCAGCGAAATGTCGTTTAACATGTTTCTCCTAGAAAATGTTGAAACAACTGATCATTGCATATGTTTTAGCAACATAAATACTATTTATATTATACTTCAGTGTAATTTTATATGAAATTGAAATTTGCTTTATTTCTAACATTTAAAATTGGAATTTTGCTTGAAATTCATCAAATTGTATGTTACCGAGGTACGAGTTTGTTGCGATGACCGTAGTATGTGCCTTGTAGATTGTTTTAGAAAAAAAACTTCCAATTGCAACTTCGTTGAATAACCTTAACTGAGCTGCAATGCGCGACTCTCTGTAAACATTTTCTTCTGATAAATTCTTTAAGTTGTGAAATTCAAATATTTCGTCGATTTTATGGAACCAAAACTCATGTGGTTTTCATTCATGACATTCCACATATAGATGACACATTACCCTAGTCTGATTTTTAAACACATAGTTGCTGCACGGTCTATACATTTTTTCCGAAGCTATTACGTATTTGCTACAAATCTGTTCGAATGTATTTTATCTGAAGAAGATGTGTATCGTCTTCAAATTATTATATAAACTTTATTCGCCCCAACCCCACCAACGCAAAAATTGTTCGGTATTGTGGAACAAAGATTGCAATGGCTAATGGACTTCCTCTGATTTGGCTGAAATATATCATGCGTTGAAGATAAATATTGTAATTGAACGTTCATTTTACATCAAATTTATTGAAACTCATAGGTGTATATTTTTATCTGTCGGAAACAATCGTCAACCAAATATATTGTACATACGGCAAAAAATTACGTATTCATTTTAACAAAACCTTTAATATAACGGTATACATTTTCGTTGAAAATGCGTTCATAGATTGATTTTAGCCAAAGCAGAATAAAGTTAAGCACTCGTGTACAAAATGTACCCATTGCAGAAGTGATTAAATGCACTGAGCCAGTGCAATCAATAAAGACTTGAAAGAACACATTTTCTGGTGATGCCTCCACAAAGGATTGTGGGCCAGCAGAACAAAGGGCTTTATTGCTTTGCTCCAAAAAGCAATCCATGTACTCGCACGGCCAATGAATAACTGCAATAGTTTTGTATCGGTGGGTGATGCGGACGAAATGAGCACCTGATGATGCATGAATCGTCTAAACTGGTTCAGGGAAGTTAATAAATAACCAAATGCGCAGACTTTTACCTTTGGCTTTCAAAACTTTTCCGATTGCCCTGTCGTGATGAGAGTGCAACATGCACCAGATGTTGGCTCTTTAGTGTTCGTCTCAGAAAAATTAGCCTATAAATTTTGTCTTTGTTTTAATTTTTTTAATTTTTTGACCATATGATGGCTAATTGAAGCTCTTTAGTTTTCCTCGCTAATTTCCTAGCTTGTAAATTTTGTCTTTGTTTTCATTTTTTGAGCACTTCGGCCTGCTAAAAAAATTGTAAGGACAAATCTATTCAGGACGAATCATAATGAGCCACGTAATGTTGGCTATGAAAATGCCTAATTGAGCTGAAAATATATATTATTATATTAATTAAAAAATGCAATTAAATTTCCTCGTCGAATAAGATTCCCTACCCAAATTCGTTTTTGATCATCCAATCTTACATTGACAGGGACTTGCTACCTTTACATATGTTCACAATAATATCACCTATCTAATGTGGAGCAGAGCTACTCCCCAATTTAGTTAAATTAGTTTCACACATGGACCAGGCACAAGATCAATGGAATGAATTCAGTAATAATATTCAAACAACCGCTGACAAGATTCAAGGCAGCAATACTTTCCTTATCAATTCAAGGAACTCAACGTCAATTGATTTCGGTTGTGAGGGTTAAATTCCAGTCTCAGACCACACGAAATGATTTGAAGAATAGAGTTAAATAGATTTAGATTTTATAGATCTCTTGAATGGAAATTTACATACAAACTGTGTTGGGCAATGCTCTATAATAGGCGCTCACTCCACTGAAGATTGTTGATCGAAAACGAACTCTTTTGTTAACATTAATAATCCTAACTTTTAATCATTGCTACTTTTGTAACTTAATGAGGTGAATCTGAGTAAAAACAGCTCATTATTGATTGCTGTGAGCGAAGGAAGCGATCAAAAGGATCACACACAACGTTGCAAAGCAATGAGTAATTTTTGTTCCGCAAGACAACGTGTTGTTTGTAACGTAACTTGGACGGATTATATGAAGAACTTTTTCACTTTAATGAGCGCCGAATTAGTCTCAGTACTATATTTGCTTCTATCTCCAGGTTTTAGCTGCAATTCCCATTAATTAGTTTAAGCTGTCAGCTCTCAACTTTGTTCGGTATACAAGAGACCACCATACCAGGCATCTAAAGTTGAATCAACGTTGATTATGCATTTAAACTTTGAATTTACGTCGATTAAACTTTTCAAAGTTGTTTTGCGAGGAGCGACTGTTATAATTGTGACTATGTTGTGAAGGTCGGATAAGGTTTTCAAGTTAGGAAAACCTTTCGCTATAAAATAAGTGATACTTATCAAACGGCGCTTAAAGAGTTAAAGATTTAGAAATAATTGACAAAATGTCTGCCTAAGCACAAATGGTCAACAATAAATAATATTGATTGCATAAAAAATATATTCAATTATTTAAAAATATACACTTAATTTGTTTTGCTTTTATTTCATATTATATTTAAATTTTTTATTATAATTTCTTTATGTTAGTTGATGTAATTACATTATTGCGAATGAATTTCTCACTTGTTTCTCCAATAGCTAGAAAAATAAACACTATTAAATGAACCAGGTAGTCGACATTGATTTAGTTCACAGGTTCAAGTCATAATTCAAACTCAAGTCACAGTTTAAAGAAGCAGGGAAAAACTGTTTTCAAATAATTCAAATTGAAAACTATCGAATTGAACAGTTGAACACACAACAATTCAATTGCGAGTTCATGGTCGAAAACACTTCCCTCTACATTAAATCTGCCCTCTTACTATGATGACGCATTGAGATTTGATATGATGATAATTTGCTTTAACCAAAAATCAAGCAAATTTTATTGCGAATTTAAGCGAGTTATTGAGTTACTTAGAAAATGTGAACATGTTGTATGAATTGCGGTTTAGTGGAGTTCAGCACGTCTTGTCGTCATTAACTTGACTGCTTGTCAACTGACACTCGTTTCATTTTCCAGAAAGAACTGGAAATCTATAAAATAAGCATTAAAAAACGTTAACATTTCTCGAAGACTTTCGCCATTTGAACTCAAATTGCAAGAATATTTCTACAGATTGAATTTTATTAATAATTTTGCTGCTAGACAAGCGCCGGTAGTAATGTCACGCTACTCGTAGATCGTAAGGGGTTTTGCTTTTGAATAAAGCTCGTTGTTATTGAGCAAATGACCAAGCTTTTCTTGTATTTATGACGGCTATAACTAAAACTCTGCACTAACCTTGGCTCTATTGGCCAAAGCTATTAACACACCGTGACCGTGAACTAAATTCGTCAAAGCCGTTAAGAAACCGTGACCATTAACTCCATTT